GCCCGGAGGCGGGGCGGCCACGAGGGTCCCCGCCACCGCTGGCCCCCGAAGGAGTCCTGGCCGCCCCTCGGGCGTCCCTAGACCGCGTCCGACACGGGCACTCGGTCCGTCCCAGAGCAGCTGCCCCATCACACCGGCTCCGGAGTTGCAACTTCCAAGTTTCTCTGGCTGTTTCTTGCAGGGGTGCGGTGGGGGTGGAGGGGTGGCTGTATAGTGACTACTTTGAAGACTACTGGCGTTTTGTTTCGTTTTGGGGGGCTACTCCACCATCCCGTTCTTCAGAAATTCCCCAACTTCCCTTGGCGAGATGTTGTCACAAAAGTTGCTGTGATGGGTTTCATTTCACCCAGAGAAACTTTGAAAGTTCACCGCAGATTTGCTACCGAGCCCCCCCAGGGCCTCCACTGGTGCTTACCTGGGTTTCACAGCCGAGCCCCCACCCCACCCCGGGCCAGGCGGTTCCGTCCCGGAATCTTGTCGAAAGGACACCCTCCCTAAAAATGCCTGCAGAATTTGAAGTGAATGCTCATTCTCCGAACACCACGCCCCCCTCCCCGTATTAAACAGCATCTGCAAACTTTCTTAGGTAATCTTCGCCCTTGCCTAAGAAAAGTAGGGTCTTGCTTTGCTTCCCGGGCAGAGGGACCGTGCTGGGAGGCTGGATCTGGGTAGCTGTGTGAGCCGGGACCGCATTTCCTCTTCGCGATTCCGCAGTGAAAACTTGGGTGCCGCTGCTGCCAGCGCTTTCAGCCCCCAGCACTGGCTTGCAGTCGCAACTGCCTCTGAAACACCCGGCCGTAATGAATGGGCCCAAATTGAATTAGGTGGCTGCTGCAGTGCCTTCAGATTCGCACCAGACGCAGCTGTTCAACTTGTGGAAATAGGCGTGTGGCTGTCCATTTAGCGGAGACCAGCATCTCCTCCTGCCACTGCGACCAAGCAGGCATCTTGTGGCTTTGGTTTGAAAGAGGCATGTCATACAAATGTAGACATGGGTGAAGCAAAAGAAGGAAAAAGGTTTTTACGTATTTTTCAAGTAGTCAAAAATAGATTGCTCGGTAGTGGAGTGGGATAAATGAGGCTCGATAGTGTAAGAGAGGTAACTCATTTCCCCCCACCCCTTTTTAAAACATTTATTTTCAACCCGGGAAAAGAGTTGAGCTTAACTTGGTTTGCAAAGTCAGTGGAGCTCAAGTGAACATTTCAGAAGCACCCACAGTTTTACATGCCTTCTGGCTGCAGGAGAGATCGTATTTGCTTGATTCCACCTTGCAGGATTAGAGGGAAACGTGTTTTTTGCTGTATGAAATGTAGACACGACTGGGAAAGTTCCGCTTTGAAGTTTGTTCCCCCAAACCCAGTGACGGCTGAGTAGCTTTGCTGTGTTAGAGTGGAGTTACTGCTGGTTTGTTATTTATATAAGGGGACCGGTGAGCCAGAGGAGACTAGCAAAAAGGGGGTGTCCTGCTATTTCATTCAGCCGCTTCCAAGATGGACCCCAGACGTGGCCTTTGGGGGCAGCTCTGTTATTTGTGGAGCAACTGATCACTGAATGTGCTACTTATCATAACAAGGTGTATCAGGAAGGGATTCCCTCCCGCTCTTGGCATGTCCTCTTCCTTGCCTTTAAAAAAAAATACCCTGTAAGGAACAAACAGGAGCCCGTGTACTTTTCCAAACAAGGAACAAAAGATTCCGTTGCAAATGGCTCCATTTTAAATAATCCATGCCCACATTGAGCTTTAGTCACATTCATTGTCATCACGCTTTCACGAAGTGTGTGTGTGTGTGTGTGTGTGTGTGTGTGTGTGTGTAGGGCGGGAAGGGACCTAGGAGGAGGGACTCATTATCACAATTATGGAATCAGGCACAGCCATCCCATCTAAGACTCCGAGTGTCCAAGGACTGTGGCCAGGGTCCTGGGAGAAGTCGCCCAGAGAGACTCAGCCTTATTTCACAGGCACCCAGGAGAAAGCCTCGTAGGTGAAGGCACTGTGGCCCCAGAAATAGGGAGATGGTAGGTGAGCCCCAGGCTGGCTCACTCTATTGTTGGTCTAGGTCAGCTGTGGTTCTCAACCAGTGGGTCACAACCCTTTTCGGGGTTTAACGACCCTTTCACAGGGGTCGCCGATTCATAACAGTAGCAAAATGACAGTGATAAAGTAGCAATGAAAATAATTTTATGGTTGGAGGGGTCACCACAACATGTGGAACTGTATTAAAGGGTGTAGGCCTTAGGAAGGTTGAGAACCACTGGTCTAGGGACTGGCCTAGGCAGAGCCCCAAATAGTACCCCTGGGGACTTCCTAGTCAGGTCCTGCCCACAAGGGTGCTTGCATTTGGGGCTGGGACTGAGGGGAAAGGGGTGTCATAAGGAGGGGGACAAGAGGAAAGAGGAGGGACATAACTTGTCACCCCAGTGAAGCCCCAGCCTTTGATGGCACCAGCTCTTGTCAAAGTGACAGCATTCTCTAGTTTTACACAAAAGACTTCTGCCCTTGCTCACACATGTGGCCTGCCTTTACTCGCTCCTCCCAAAGCAGAAGTGGCCACTTGATGTGTGTGCTTCAGAAATGTCCTTTAACTCCTTCGCTCCTGGGCCTTTCAGCAGAGTGGTTTGGTATTAAAAGTGGAGGGGAAATCAGTGTCCATGCCATCAGAGACCGACTGTGTGTGGGAGGTGGGGGGTTGGGGGAGGTCAGCTTTATGGAGACAAAATTGACATCTAACAAACATGTTTTTAAGGTCAGCATTCTGGAGATTGAACACAAGTATATTTCATCATAAGTCCTGATGGCAAAATGGTTACTTGTGGGGCTGTTAACTGTAAGGTCAGCAGTTCAAAACCAGCTTCTCTGAGGGAGAAAGATGAGGCTTTCTATTCCCATTAAGAGTTACAATCTAAAAACAAACAAAGGAGTTACAACGTAGGAGTCCTTTAGGGTTGCTTCTATGAGTCAATCAATTTGATGGCAGTGAGTTTGTAGGTCTTTGTATATTTCCTCAGTGCTGTAGGTGTCTGTGTCCCCAAGAAATGATAGCATTTTTTCCTAAGGAGCAGCCCTTGATAAGGCAGCAGGGTGGCTAGGCTAGGGAAAGTTGGTGGCCCACTAAGACACTTGTCTCAGAATTGTGGATCTTTTACCTCCTATGTCTGCATGTGCTCCTATCAGAGTGGTTTTTGAGATACCTTCTCATTTTGGTAGGAGCCTTGATGCTGTAGTGGGGTATGCATTGGGCTGTTAATGGCAAGATCAGCGGTTCAAGGCTTTCTAGTCTGTAAAGAATTACAGTCTTGGAAACCCACAGAAGCAGTTTTACTGTCTTACAGGGTCACTATGAATTGGAATCAACTAGATGGCAGTGCGTTTTCTCATTCTGAGGCTCCCAATTTTTTTAGCGCTAGGAGTAGGTACAATTTTTGCCATGCTGTGCAAGGAATCGGACTTGAGAGACGTGACTTGTCCAAATCAACATAGAATCCAATTCAGAACCTGAGCCTAGACCGCTTACCAATGGAAAACAAACAAACTTAAAACTGAGATTGGAATTGGTTCCAGAACAGAGTAGAACTGCCCCTGGGGGCTTCCA